TCCCACATCCTTTATGGACCCTTTCACACCAGCTCCTCTGGTTAGCTTTCCAACAGCCAATGTTTCTTGCAAACACACATCTTTATCAGAGCCCTTATCAGATTTATCATTAAGAACTACATCAAAAGATTCTTTATAATCACTGTTACTTGTTTCAGCAAGCTGGTCTGTTTTGTTGTCTTCAGCCTCAATATAAAATGAAGTAGGATGAGCATTGTTAACAGGTGCCACAAAATCCGTCCGGTTATTATCAAAATCACCATTATCAACGTGTTCCACTTCTCTTGCGTTGCATATGAGTTCCTCTACCGCAGTCTGCTCAATTGAATCTCGAACCTCACCGTCTTCATAATCATCATCTTTAGCATCTTGTTCTGTATCAATAGTTGTATCCAAAGCATGATTACCATCTGATTCATAATCAGAACCATAAGAATCTTCCAACATATCTGCTGAGATATTTATCTTTTCCTCATCACTGGAAGAACCCTCACCACTTCCACGTGAATCAAGGGGGTGATCATTCATGAACTTCAATTTATAACCGCGGTCAACATTATCATCTTCAGTTCTCATACTGTTTCCCTTAGTATCAAGACCCAGAGTTACAGCAATCTGCTCTTTGCTTTGACAAGCTTCCTGAGGCGCCTTTGCATTCAAGCTTCCTGTATGCTTTGTCAAATCCCTACTCATAGTCAACTCTGTTGAACAAGAAGGCTTCCCTGTGGACTCTGTTAAACACAAAGGCTTTCTAGAAAGGCAAGACATCTCTGCAGTCATAGGCAACGTCATGTCACTAGAACAATTATCCAGACCCTGTGTCACATGCTTATCCAGATGAACTGATGTCCCTTCAATGGAATTTATGGTTTCTTGATTATCCACAATACTTGGTTCAGATTTTATGGATCTAGGATCAACCAACTTTTGGGTGCTCATATTTGAAGACTTAACAGCTCCAAGAGTGCACTGCTCAACAACAGCACGTTTCCCTGCTCTATTACTATCTAAAAATCCCGTATTACTGGATTTAGCTATGTTAACATCCAGTTTGACACTCTCATCAAATGGTTCTGATTTTACGGTTCTACGATTACCTGTGTTCAGTGTTCTAACTGGCCCAGCCAATCTAGGCGAGTTTGTAGAAGAAATCACCCTGTCCATGTCCAAATCCAATTTACTGCATGCACTAGAAGGGTTTTGACACTGATTCAACTGTGAGCAAGATGAACTAAGCCGTAAAAGAAGGGTGTCATTGGAATTACACTGCTGGCTAGCAAGTGTGGGTGAGACGGTGATATTAGTTCTGTTCTGACTATCAACAATGGTCTGTTTTTCTGAATTGACACCGGCTCCAACCATCCCAGTTGAACCAATCAACTGCTTTGCATCACCTGCCCCACCCGTTGCATTGATTCCGTCAACCGATTCAGAAGCATCACTCACAGAATCTGTCCATGCATCCATTGGTGTATTCAAATCCCAGTTTGCCCGCCATGCACGCTTGTCAGCACCATCAAAATTCAAATCATCACCATTTCCTTTGCATTGGCTGCTGTTTTTTTCTTCGCTTAAAGACAAATTCAGTGAAATAGGCAAGTTATCCTGACTCCGCTGACTCCCATCACCGCCACTGTTTTGGCCTGTCA